AATGAAGAACATATACAAATAAATCAGGAATTTCCCAAAGGGGGAACACCATGTAAAAAAAATACTAGTGAAAGGATATATGTAGATATTGTTGTAGGGATATACGAAAGGGCGGAACCATTCCAGGGGAGGGGTGATGAGGTTTGGCTAGCCAAAACCCTTTTAGCGTACTAAAAATACAGAAACAGAATATATAAATTGATGAATATGTATAGACAAATAAATAAATAAATTGCAAATCTCAATGAAAACAACTAGAGCACCGTTCATCTGAAAGAAATTTCATTTTCACATTTTCCACCAGTATTTGTGAAATCGTTAGTAGCTTTTAAAGTTTTATAGTACCCTATATATATAGATGTTTGGTTCCACTACTAGAAATGTTATTTACAACAAAGAATATTAACTGAAAACATACTTTTAGGCGACTAAAGCAGAACCAATAACAATTTTACTCTTGTTATCAAAAAAGCCTGTACATAATGACATAAAACGATGTCCTATATCATGGATATATAGAAATTGTAATTGTAAGTTAAGCTGAGTTTATAAGTTGGAAATAAAGCTCTACCAGAATCAACYCTGATCCCGAATTGACTGACGTGGTATACAACTACTTTTCTATGGTAGTTTAATTTTCTTTCTGCAGTTCTGTCATGCAACTTATCAATTATATTTTTCGTTTAACTAATTTCATAATGATCGATAAAGGACCATAGCGTCTTTTGCGTACTTGTGATGATGCTAAATTTGGAATAGTTTTGCAAAAGCTTTATTTTATCTATTTTTACATAGAACTAAAATTCGTTTTGATATGGTAATAAAACAACAAATATGTTGTGTCCAAAGAGCTACCTTTTTGGGAAGCTTTTGAGGAGTCTTGCCGTGACCACTCTAATCCCTGCGATACAGTAGACTCACTTAAATAGYAAAAAAATGTWCTTATTCGTTCCTAGCTTAACCACTGACTATCATTTGACAGGGAAAGGTAAGTGCTAGGATCACCAGGACAATGGATTCTTGTCGTTGCGTGAAATTTCTTCTTTAGCTCGCAATACGTCTTGTAGATGCTGTGACACTTTAAAAAATCCGAGTTGTCGCACTCCACATGCTGGACCAGCCCCCCAGATCTATCAATCCACGTGACGAGATCGTTTTGAGCGCGAACTGTAGTCGTGTAGGTCTGGACGCATGTGGAATTCTGTACAATTCTGTACTGTGACAACATGTGCTATGCTCTATATTTTGCACAAATCATGGCCAGGTGGGTCACATCTCCCATTCCTACCAAAGTCAACAAAATCACCCTCAACACTTATCAAATCTCATGTTGCTCTGCCAGGACATGTTTGATCAATAGCTGGAATAAGGTACAACCTTTGTATGTAATAGTATGTCCTCTGTGAAAAATACCAAACCATTGCTGGATTACTTCCAGTGAGCAGTTTTGATGCTGTTAAAAGCATATTCCTCCAAGACATAAGGCCATGGCATGGTTAGTATCCAAATTCTGTGATGTCCATTGATACATACAGKCATATGACCTCCAATGTGATCATAGTACCACTCTCCTTTCAGTGATAGATGGCTAAGCTTCTTTCTGGCATACATGGCAACTTTTGAATATTTCTAATAAGCAGCTCTGGAATACAATAAACCTTTCTCCGAATAGACATGATTCAGTGTTTCCATGTGAGGTCTTATGCTTTTTTAGCAATTCTTCTTCATCTAGACCATAGTTAGACCTAAGGATATAAATATTGTCCATTGTTTTTGTTTTTAATAAAAGGTTAAATAGACTAAACACTTAAAGTGGTTCTTATATAATATATAGCACTACTATAACCAGTCTTTGTCGTCATAATTGTCATAATTTTCGACGTCGTCATATCTTTTTGAATGTCGATGTGGCCTTTCATTGTCAGTTTCAATATTGTCATCAATATTACAAGCCACGGCTTTGGGTGTTCAACTATGCTTTGCTTTATGAATTTCAAGATTCTAGTTACAAAAGAAAAAGGAAATACTATCTTTGAGTAAATTCTTACTTGTATTTCGAATTGTTTTCGAAATTGTTTTCAAAGGTTTCTCTATACAAAGCCGCTGGTATTTCACTTAAAGGAACACTGTCAATGGCACGCATGCGCGAGTAAACTTGAAAACATTAGGCTAATGTTTTCAAGTTTATGACTCCAAGTTGGCGCGACATAAATCAGCTCGTAAACGTTGTCAAAAGCACCACAAAATGATTTTCCTCGAAGGTAATACTTTCAAAGTCCGTTAGAGGCGAGACTGTTACTGCGCATGTCATCTATTGACAGTGTCCCTTTAAGCTTATCTTCAGTGCAATCTCGTTCCAGAGCCCGCGTTCCTCTTGGCCTGGGGGCGCGAGCAACCACGAACTCTGGCCTAATCCATATTTTTCATCAGATTTTCTGGTGTTCCGGTTAAATTGCGCATGCGTGTCAAAAAGAAAAATGGCGGAAAATTTGTTTTATAGTTCGCTAGACCACGGTCTATCGGCTATAGGAATGCCAAATTTAGCTTTGAAAACCAAACAATTTGAAATTTTAGAAAGTGTTGTTGTGTTGGCCGGTAAAGACATTTGAAATTTTGAATTTTTTCGCTAATACTAACGAGATTTGTGGCGCACAGTCTACATAAATATCCAGAGAAACCGTCGTCTTCATGTATGTTATCTACTGAGCATATATCTTGCAAAGACGTTAAAACGCCCTCTCTCTTCGACTTGTTTCCAAACAAATTTACTTTGTAGCGATCTAAAAGTTTATTGCAAAATCTACAAGTATTATAAACTTGATGCGTCGCCGCTTTCTTCGGAGAAGACATTGCTACACTCTGTTGCTCCACTTTACAATTAATTTTTGTTTACAATTTTGCAACATCTTCAGTGGGGCTAGCCCGAATTTTGGCGCTGTTCAACTATGATTGGTCAAATTTTACTTCCGGAGACGTCCGCANGCAATCTCGTTCCAGAGCCCGCGTTCCTCTTGGCCTGGGGGCGCGAGCAACCACGAACTCTGGCCTAATCCATATTTTTCATCAGATTTTCTGGTGTTCCGGTTAAATTGCGCATGCGTGTCAAAAAGAAAAATGGCGGAAAATTTGTTTTATAGTTCGCTAGACCACGGTCTATCGGCTATAGGAATGCCAAATTTAGCTTTGAAAACCAAACAATTTGAAATTTTAGAAAGTGTTGTTGTGTTGGCCGGTAAAGACATTTGAAATTTTGAATTTTTTCGCTAATACTAACGAGATTTGTGGCGCACAGTCTACATAAATATCCAGAGAAACCGTCGTCTTCATGTATGTTATCTACTGAGCATATATMTTGCAAAGACGTTAAAACKCCCTCTCTSHTCGACTTGTTTCCAAACRAATYTACTTTGTAGCGATCTAAAAGTTTATTGCAAAATCTACAAGTATTATAAACTTGATGCGTCGCCGCTTTCTTCGGAGAAGACATTGCTACACTCTGTTGCTCCACTTTACAATTAATTTTTGTTTACAATTTTGCAACATCTTCAGTGGGGCTAGCCCGAATTTTGGCGCTGTTCAACTATGATTGGTCAAATTTTACTTCCGGAGACGTCCGCATTCGTAATGAGGAAATTCTATCGACCAATGAAAAGCGCGCAAAATATGGATTAGGCCAGAGTTCGTGGTTGCTCGCGCCCTCAGGCCAAGAGGAACGCGGGCTCTGGAACGAGATTGATCTTCAGTGTTGATCACTCAAACAAAATTGGCTATCAAAATCTACAATCTTACCATTTTTGTTAGTTGTTTTTTCGACAGTAGATGATTCGACAGTTGAATTATGGGCATCTGCTTTCCCCACAATAAGAATGTCGACTTTTTCTTCGTTTTATAGCATTAAAATTCTTGTCGAACACGGCCTGTGTTCTGGTGGCGGGAAGTGTACCGTCGAAACACCGGCACCATCTGTGACGTCATTAGAGGCGTCTCCGACTAACTTCCGATTAATTACCGAAAATGAACKACCGGTCAACGGAAATACAACACTCAATGATACAACAATCTCATGATATCTCGAAAAATAAAACTCTTCCAGTTTTCTCGCTTCGCGTATGTATTGAACATAGCAAGAACTTCTTTTTCCATGTGTTAAAAAATCATCGATTTTTCCGTTGCATTTGAMCTTTAATAGAATTTCAGGCAAACTCTCGCCATTGGCGAAATAGTAATACTGTATATCATTCAAAATTCGTCATCTAGTTTTAACACAATGTATATTACCTATAGAGATATAGTTTGAGTCTCATGATAATCGTCACATGGGATCATGGCAACGAGATGCGATTAAACATAAGCAATGAAATATTGTAATGGATTAGCGGTTCCAACAAGGTTGAGAAGATGATTATTGATAGGACTGTTGATAACATTCTCACCTCATTTGATGCCTTTTTCTRGCATATTGCAGATCAAAGAATAAATTCAAAGATAATTACCAAGCAAAAATTCATAATTARCATATAATAGTATATAATAATACGCATATCTGTCAATAATCCGCATATTACATGGGGRAGATGAGATATAAGCGTGCTTCTTGTCATGGTTGTGTTTTATATTAAAATCTACCAATCAAATAGCAAAGAAAAATTTAAATATGCCATTTCATGAAAGGTGAGAATCGACGCAGGCCAAAGGACAACTACGAGTTGTGTCATAATTCAGTCCAGCTGCGTTATATACCTTAAAAGATCTAGTCTAAGTTTCACATCTAGATAGGTGACTACTCGTTGAGTTTAAAAGGTTTAAAAGTGCTGGTGAATATGCACCTTCTGCATAGTATCTAAGCCATATCAGGTTCAAAGAGGATTTATCAAACAAAGACATTGAAAAGGATGATCCAGTTTTTTTTGACTTAAAATAAGGTAAAATGACTTCAAAACGAGATATCAAATTTGTGCGAACAGGTGCTAACCAAACTAGAAAGAATTTGGATCTATTGAATTGTTTAAAATGGTGCTTCGTCTTGGTTTCTTTGCTCCCATCCTCAGGCTCGGCTGTTGAAGGAGAAGGAATTTATAAAGATGGTCAAATTATTATTGGCGCTCTGTTAGAAGTTCGAAACCAATATGAGAACGGTTTATGTCGCGGGATTTCACGTYATGGGCTTTCTATGTTGGAAGCAATGTTATATGCCATAGAATCCATAAACAAAGAAAAGTCCYTCTTGCCAAATGTGACCTTGGGATATGATATYATAGACGTTTGTACAAACCCAGCATTGGCAAATAGAATGGCCTTTGAGTTTGTTTCTAGAAATAAAGCTACAAAACTCAAGTTCCAACACAATGACACTTCTGAAACCTTTCAAAAGTACTTTGGAATTCTTCGGAAGCCGATTGCAGCAGTAGTAGGAACTGGAGATTCCAGCAGCTCTGTAGTTGTCGCCAGTATGTTGAACATTGATGATATTCCTCAAGTCAGCCCGTTTGCCACTAGTGACGAACTCAGTCAACCCTATTTCAAGACTTTTTTCAGGCCAGTTCCACCAGACGGACAACAAGCCAAAGCCCTCGCTGACCTTGTAGACTATTTCAAATGGCAATACGTTTACGTAGTTGGTGTTGATACGTCGTATGGGAGATACGGTCTGATGGCCTTTGAGAATGAAGCATTACAAAGAGGCACGTTTTGCATATCTCACATATCCTACTTCCCCTCATCCGGTTACCAGCAAATAATGAAATCGATAGCTTCAAAAATCAAACTTGAGACATATGTGAAAGTGCTAGTCTTATGGAGTCCCATGCCTACTTCGACTCCTTTTATAGAAGAAGCGTACAGGCAGGGCATTACTGGAAAAACTTGGCTTGCACCTGAAGGTTGGTCCGAGGCAACACCTCTCTTAAAAAACAAATACATGAAAATAATTGGAGGATTTATGGGAACAAAACTGCGAAAGTATAACCTAGAAGGATATTTTCACCATTTCACCAGCTTGAACTATTCATCTGCAAGAGTTCAGCACCATACTTGGTGGAAAGAGTACTGGATGATCCAACAGAAATGTAAAAACATTTTAACATGCGACTTTCAGAACTTTCGCATCACCAAACGACGATATGAAGACATGTATACTGCTTACCTCCCTTACGTCATCGACTCAGTATATGCAATTGCTCATGCTCTACATGATATATACCGCTGCCGTGGGAATGGTTGCCCAAGAACTGAACCWTTTATTGATACAAAAGACATTTTGAGATAYATGCGCAATGTAACSTTCGAAGGAGTAACGGGRAAAATTGAGTTTGATAAAAATGGAGACTCCATTAGTTCGGCCGCYTATGATATTGTTAATTTACATGCAGGGACTACTGCCCCACAGTTGAAGACCATCGGCACCTGGGATCGAGGCAAAGCAAGGCGATTAAATATAAGCAATAGTTCATTGTATTGGAACACCGGCACTAGCAAGGTTCCAGTATCGGTATGCAGCAAAACTTGTCCACCAGGGTACATGCAGACAGTGAAAGTGGMATGCTGCTGGAAGTGCATCCGCTGYCCATTTGGYTCTATTAGTCAGAAGTATAGCTCCTCACAATGTACGGAGTGTCCGATAAACAAAATGCCYGACCAAGATCGGACAGAGTGCATTGACTTGCCWGAARTGAATATCTCATTTYATGATTCTCAGTCCATTGTYCTCCTYGTGGTGGCGGSCATCGAGCTTATTTTRGTTCTCTTTGTCCTKTWCATCGGCTTGAAATATCGAAATACGCCAATTGTCAARTCTTCCAATCGAGAAATGAGYGTCTTMTTTCTTYTCGGTATAGTCGTTGGTATAGTATCTGGASTTATCCTCCTTGCTCGMCCTACACCGYTGATATGTTATTTAGACAACCCGCTCCACGCGCTCTACTATACGSTATGTTTGTCCATTYTAATCGTCAAGACCAACAAGTTGGTTMGAGCGTTTGAATTGAATTTTGCCACATCAAGAATTAGTCAGTTTTGTACCGGTAAGAASTCGCAATTTGTCMTTCTGTTCTTTTTGAACGTGATATCAATAGTACTGGTGACAATGTGGCATGTACTCGACCCTCCTTACGTTCACGTTACAATGGAGCGTTTGAAATCMAAGCACTTAGGATGCAGAGGACATAAGGGAACTGTTGGCYTTGCTCTTCAAGCATCATTGTATGCATACCAGTTTAKYCTGTCCATCSTCTGTGCTTACTACGCGTTCAAGGCCAGGAACCTACCAGAAAACTTTAGTGAAGCACGTTACATTGCATTTGCAATGTACATGCAGCTTCTGTGTTCGATGTGCTATGCTATATTGCAAAACACTGCAAAGGGAAATTTTTTAACAATCTTCTCTTCAGCAATCATAATTCTAAGTTCATTAGGTTTTCTGGTGTGTATGTTTGCTCCAAAGGYTTACATCATTCTGAAATTCCCTGARAAAAATACAGCGGAATATTTGAAAGCGTCTGTGGCAAGTCACTCTTTTAATCAGAGAAACCTAAAAATCGTACCCCTTGGTGTTGCTACGGGAACAGATGTCTGTCATGGCAACATCAACCTTAGCGAAACAATCACCAATCGTCAATCAAACGTTCTTGGCAGTGGAACCGTGGAGGTCAGRGAATTTAGTGGAGACCCCGATGGAGTTGCCATGGTAACAGAAGATTACAAATGCTATTACAACCCCGATATGGCTTTTAAAGAAGAGAAGATAGAAGAGCATTGTCTCGATAAAATCTCCAGTACCTTTATGAAGAAACAGAGAGGTTCAGATGTCCCCACAAATGCGAACAGTTTTGAGGGAACCATTTCTGACAGTCACAAAATGAATATTTGGAAGCAGAAGAACAACAATCGTGGCCAATCGCAATCAGCTTCTAAAGAAAAAGGGGTGTCTGAATAGTAACAATGATATCGAGAGGTCGGCCATTTTGGAATTTGAAATATAGCTGAATCCTTAAGATCAAGCAAACACTGACATTTAAGAAACTGATTGTATTTATAATACATATGAATGTCGTAATGGTAGACTTTTCGAGCACTTTGTACACAATGGCTATCTATTCGTCCAAAAGAAGTCTCGGTGGTAGGTATCTCTGTAAACCAAGTGGAAAACTGCTTGTATATGAGATCCAAAGTTTTCAATTTTTTATATATATAATATATATATTGGAAGACGGCGTGACTAATTTGCATACAATATATCGTGAAAAAGTAGGAGGAAAAGAGCTGCGGTCCTCAGAGATTGGCTTCCAAACCAAAAGCAAGTAATTTCATAAAATTAAAAGATAATCATAATAGTACATCATAATAGATCCAAAAATTTCGAAAGTTGGGAAGAGGGGGGCAGATATATAGATTCTGCGTCCGTTGAGGTCTTGAGAGATGAAACGCTTCTATTTGACACTGGAAAATGACTGATGTAAAAAATGAACAAATACAAATAAATCAGGAATTTCCCAAAGGGAGAACACAATGTAAAAAAATACTAGTGAAAGGATGTATGTAGATATTGTTGTAGGGATATACGAAAGGGCGGAACCATTCCAGGGGAGGGGTGATGAGGTTTGGCTAGCCAAAACCCTTTTAGCGTACTAAAAGTACAGAAACAGAATATATAAATTGATGAATATGTATAGACAAATAAATAAATAAATTGCAAATCTCAATGAAAACARCTAGAGCACCGTTCATCTGAAAGAAATTTCATTTTCACATTTTCCACCAGTATTTGTGAAATCGTTWGTAGCTTTTAAAGTTTTATAGTACCCTATATATATAGATGTTTGGTTCCACTACTAGAAATGTTATTTACAACAAAGAATATTAACTGAAAACATACTTTTAGGCGACTAAAGCAGAACCAATAACAATTTTACTCTTGTTATCAAAAAAGCCTGTACATAATGACATAAAACGATGTCCTATATCATGGATATATAGAAATTGTAATTGTAAGTTAAGCTGAGTTTATAAGTTGGAAATAAAGTTCTACCAGAATCAACCCTGATCCCGAATTGACTGACGTGGTATACAACTACTTTTCTATGGTAGTTTAATTTTCTTTCTGCAGTTCTGTCATGCAACTTATCAATTATATTTTTCGTTTAACTAATTTCATAATGATCGATAAAGGACCATAGCGTCTTTTGCGTACTTGTGATGATGCTAAATTTGGAAAACTTTAGAAATAGTTTTGCAAAAGCTGTATTTTATCTATTTTCACATAGAACTTTTTAAAAATAAATAAAATTCGTTTTAATATGGTAATAAAACAACAAATATGTTGTGTCCAAAGAGCTACCTTTTTGGGAAGCTTTTGAGGAGCCTTGCCGTGACCACTCTAATCCCTGCGATACAGTAGACTCACTTAAATCGTAAAAAAATGTACTTATTCGTTCCTAGCTTAACCACTAACTATCATTTGACAGGGAAAGGTTTTGTTGCAATAAACATGACCTTGGCTATAAAAGTTTTAAAGATTGACTGCAACTACTGATAAGAGCCCGCCAACACTATAAGGATATCAATTTTTGTATCGTTGTATCTTATTTTTTTTGGTACATATCATACTTACAAGTACTCGTCTAGATTATATTTTCTACAAATATTTCTAATAGTCAACCTTATCCTATTATGGTTTGCATATTATTTCATTACATTCTATGGTTTAATGTGTAATCTCTTCATCACCAAGTCCAAAGTGCTAGGATCACCAGGACAATGGATTCTTGTCGTTGCGTGACATTTCTTCTTTAGCTCGCAATACGTCTTGTAGATGCTGTGACACTTTAAAARATCTGAGTTGTCGCACTCCACATGCTGGATSAGCCCCCCAGATCTATCAATCCACGTGACAAGATCRTTYTGAGCGCGAACTGTAGTCGTGTAGGTCTGGACGTCTTCTAAAGTGTAGTCAAACTTAATGTGATTGTAAATCTCTCCTGGACTTGATATGGCAATGGCTGGAATCTTATTCCTACTKCCAATTATCTTGGCAAGTCCACCGCCTAACGAGTGCCCTACCAAGTAGTATTCCTCCTCCGAAGCATTTCTCTCTGCTTTGATGTAGTCTTCCAAAGGTTTAAAATAATAGCCGTACGTAGATCGATGTAACAGGTAATCAATAGACGCTGACTTTGCGATGAAGAAGGCAACAAACTCAAATGGCAGGTGTTGTATTGGTAGTGCGACTGAGATCAACTGAAACACTGCAATCTCATTCCACAWTTTAGCATTCTCAAACCAGTCCCGCGCGTCTACAGTCCCGCGAATACTCACTACATTCACTTTGCTTGAAGGGTGGCGGATGTGAAAGAAGAAAGGYTTTTTGTTGTTAACAGACTCGACGGTCCACTGTAGATTACGATCCATGAAATAGTTATTCACAATATTCGCAATATTTGTCTTRTTTTCCGACTTGATTTTGTAAGCAGTATCGGCTAGAAACGCCATGTCGGTTATTTTCAACTGTAGGGAGCTCCATTGTTTGTCACAAWTAGGATAGCCAGGGATCTTGGGCGTGTCCTTGACCATACTGCTATACCTGTGCATGTAAGAGTTCTTGGATGGAGGACCAAGTTGGCATTCTTTACCGCAAGTCATGTTAATGTTTRCGCCAGCGATAACAATGGCCAGGAATACAGTAGAATTCAACAAAAATATATTCTTGTCAATCACGAATCCGCGCCCTTCTTCCTTGCAACCTCTAGCTGTGAGATATGCGCTAAGCAACAAAGTGCAAAATGGCAAAAGGAAACCAAAAGCAATGCCAGSAGATGACCCGTCAACAAGTTTGAAAGCAATCGGAGACAAGATGGAAAAGATGAGCAAAATTATTAACCATCCGATGACAATTAACAGCTCTGCATCCGCCACTACTGGTACTCTTACTGGTAATATAGGTTGAAGACCGAGTTTTTCTCTGTAAACAAAAATCAATAGAAAGAGGGATCCCAGCAAAGATAAAACAAAAGCCATCACCCAGGAGACGATCAGACACTTCGACAAGAACGAAATGAATCCAGTTTCCGCTGACTTGGTGTACGCTGACCAAATGCCTGCAGTCACGATATCAATGAAAAAAAGGACAATTTTGATGATGCTGTACCTCATCGCAGACTTGTGCAGAATCATTCCCACTACTTCCCAAAACAGCGACAGCACCAACGAGCTCATCAGAATAACGCACAGGAGGATAATAAACAAGCAAGAACCATAGAAGTTTCTACGGTGAAACGAGTCGCCTATTGGWGTGATCATCTCAAGGACRATCTCTAAAGCACAGTTGACACTGAAGCTGAGTGCTGTCACAAAGAAACTAAGAAACGTCACAGCAAGACTGGTGTGGGCTAGGWATGTGAGACCATAGAACAAATGACGAACTACATCCCAGAACAGTCCTGTCTTACTTGGGAAAATCTGGGAAAACATGAAAGGAAAATTTATTTGGACACTGCAAACAAATCCGAGGATCATAAATAAAAAAGTGGCTGATCACTTGATTTTTGCATTTGAAAAAAAGTTACAAATATTCTAGTGGAATTTTTATTCATTTATTTTCAAAAAAAGTCAKCAAATTTTTCAGACGCTTTCAAGGTGTGTGTGTGGGCGGGGCGGGAGCGGGGGGTATGGAGTGGGGGCACAAAATATGCAGCTTTATGATATTACTATAATACCTATTCAAACGTCTAACACTATATAAACTTGGCAATYAATATATCAATTCTAAGTCGATGACTTTTACAAAACCATTTAAATTCATGAATAATTAATGAGGGATTGATTTAATTTGGACAAGCCGTGATTCAAGAGTTTGAAAATAATAGGTCACTTAGAAGGCCGAAGCCTCCAATTTCAAATTCGTCAATTTAGTGTTCTCGTTTGATAGAGTGCAAATAATATACCCGTGAAATAGATAGCTAACTAACTAATTACTAACTATGTCCTAAGAATATGTGAGCCGAGAAACTGCACGTGCGTTTATGCACACATCTTCCTCGGAGCTCAACTAGCCAGCTACACTTTATAACAGTTATATTACAAATGCTGCTGGAAATAGTTTTGGTAGCCAACGTCTCATTCTAAAAAGGTACGTATCTCACAAACTTTTCCGTAGAAGCGATAAACTCCTCTTGTGGTKTATTTTCAATTTCAAGCAAAGGCGCTAGCTCTTTGCTAACTCTGCTGAATAAAAGAATATATCACATGCTCTCGAGATTAAGGCTGCACAAAATAGATCTCGAAACTGGAGTATACTGAACTGAACTGAGCTGAACTGGTATTTTACTCAATGAGTATTAAAATAAACGCCAATAGTCCGGTTTCACCGAGAAATCTGCACACTACTCGATGTGTCTTGTACCTTTTTAGCTCTGTTATCTGAAACTTCCTGCTCAGAATCAGCTCTCGAGGACTCCAACACGACATCACGAATGATAGACCCTAACTCCATCCTCTCAGTAGATTGGGAAAGGTTTGGAGAATACTATTTTACCAACAGAAGACCGTGATGTTTAACGCCACACCGCAGTCGCTTTTCCGAGAAATGGCTCGATTGCTATACAGCGGATTATATTTCTTAGTTGGGAAATAGRAAACCAAGGCACCTGAACTGGAGTTCGGATACTGGAATTATTGTCATAGTATACTAAATTCGTCAGTATAAGGGGATAATTCAGTTCAAAGTTGTTTCCCCGTTTTCGGTCACGTATGGTTTCCGAAATGATATTTCTTTTATCATTGATTTTATTCGCGACTTTTTAATAGAAAACGTAGATTGTTCAACAATGCATACTGTTGATATGTTTTACTCCAGAACTTATTATTTTTTTCTTCCTTAAGATGTATGATCAATTCCTATTGTATCAATTCATTGTTTATTCTTTTCATGCTACCGATGTGTCAAAAGAATTGATCGACTACATGCTGAGAGCTTTGTACATAGACGCTTACACTTTTTGTCTGTGTATTCCAATCTTCTTTTCTTCCTTTTTAATTCCTATTTTTGTCTATGAACCAGCTGGAGATAATCCATCGACGCCAATGGTGACAATAGCGCATTGATATTTGTATATTTTCCAATTTTAAATAATTAATGACATAACTATACAGCTTAAAATCGAGAAATTTTACTCAGACCCATATGTGACCTTCCATGCAAGACATTTGAAAACTGATTCTTTTGTGTCAAGTTTAACCCTTTTTCACCTTGAAGATATGGCACAAGTATTTGTTTTGAGTGATTYTCTTTTACAGATTGAATCAAAAACGTTTTCCAGTCGCCATAGCCGGCTGGTTCATATAAAGTTTTAAAAAGTTCCATCCGGATCCAAGAGTTTACAGATAGCACAAAGCACACTCATCCCAACCMAACAATTGTAAAACTCTACCCAATAATACTCTCAGTACTATAAATGGCCGATTTTTTGTGACTACAAACGTAATACCCATGTAACTTCAACAAACCCAATACGATGTTTATACCTGTCTCGCTCTGTTGTCTGATACTTCTTGCTCAGAATCGACTCTCGAGGACTCCAACAAAAAAAAACTAATAGCAGTTCTTAACTCCGTCATCTTAGTTAGATTGGAAGGCTGTATTCGACTTTTAGACGTTAATACTTGGACACCGCGCAGCACTCCCTTCAAACTCCTTTTTCAGATAATTCCGACAGTTGCATTGATACAGAACAAAGTCAACAAAACTGAAAATTCGGATGGATGAATTAACACTAACAATCCCTCGCCGCAGGCCGCCATGTRCGGCCTCTGTGTTTTGCGAAAACTGAAGACATGCGCAATGGAATACAAATCAGATCTGAAAATTCCTCGCAGTTTTCGTTTTATGCTTTGTTAAGTGTCTCGCGCATGATTATTATTCCCCATTTATCTCAAAACTTAATTTCTCCGCGACCATAGTCCATATCGCAACCCGCGGAAAGCCTTGTGACGCAGTGCATTTTGGGATTGATAAATGAGTAAACACTAAGTGAAAAACGATGTCAGTGCTCCAGTTGTCTGTAAMGTAGACTCAGTTTTCGAAAAACATTGGAAAATATTGATATTGTAGTTAATCTCAGAAGCGAAAAAACAAACAAATATCAACATGCAAGGAAATACAGAAAGAAAAACCTCCAAAAATCTACAGTTCATCAAGAATTTCCATTTACTAGGCAAATCAAGCAAAAATGAAAACAAACATATGTTGTTTGTGGAAAAATCGAAACTAATTAGTGTTTTTACGATTTTAGCGATTTGTTTTGATGAAGAAAGAGAGATATGTATCCCATGATACATTGCAAAACCATTCAAAATGGCGGGCTTGTGATATGAACTATTGCAAACAAACGCTCTTTGACAGGTTTCAAAACCAAGGAAGCCCGCGCGCCTAATAGACTACAATAATTGTACCTTGAAAAGACATGCAAACAAGAAGGGGTTAGTCATGTATAGGAAAATCAACACCCTTGAATATTAAATTACTGAAAAGCTGAGCTTTAAGTAATAGTCCGAGAAGATAGAAGCAGGCAAGCAAACGGCAATGGAATGTATGAAGGTGCTAATTTTGTATTGTATAATCCATCCATCTCATTGGTTAAAACATTAAAATTTGACATAATTTCAAAAGTAAGCGCATTTTTTAATATTTTATTTAATATCGGATTCCGACTTCATAAAAGCTTTCCTTGTCTTTAATATTAATAGCAATTCTATGTGGGGAACATAGCAAATTAGAAGCATTTTTTGCCTATTGTTTTGAGTGTTTATGATTGGACAAGATCTTTTAATACAAAAGAAACTTTGTTTCAAGACAGAGTTTATTCACATTTTATTTTAAAAGTGTGTTACCCATAGGCTGATATATAATCAGTGTGATGACCAAGACATTCGTATATGGGGAAGCTGCAATTGCAGCAGAACAATAGAAATTTGCCTGGTTTTTGCTCGCATTGTTACTTAACACTAATCAATCTAATGCACCAAAAAATCATTCAATGATATGATTTCCGTTGTCAAGAGGCCGACAAAATTTCAATATTAATCGCTGAAGATATATATATATTGACTTTTCGATATGAAATAAAAAATCAATTTGTTCGTATTCAATCGCAAATATGTTAAATATACTGCTTCCATGAACGTTTTGATCAATACTAACAAACATGGCAACTTTATTAGCAAACCTTCCCATTAAAGTCTCAGATTCGTTGGAAATTCTAATGACATATCGAAAATTCTGGTGGAAATCATATTATTTTCCCCGATATCATTATTCTTTACTTCATTAAWACACTTTAAACTTTGAATAACGCGTTTTTCTTCACTGGAGGATTATAAAAAAAATTATAAGAAGATTCAGTTATAAGAAAWCAAAACACACACATAATAATAGAAAAAAAGAAAGAGGGGGAAAACACTCTGAAGTCACCCTATAATGGACTCCAACACATCTAACTAGTAAGTGTTGCCATTAAAACCTATTTGTAATGTTCAATCTAAGAGTGCCATTTCTTTTCTAATATGCACACTAATTAAGAATTTCTCCTGAATCTTTAATACATCACATCCTATCTCTAGTTATGTCATGTTATACTTCGGCTTATTACCTTAAATCAAAATATAATTGTAGGCAAATCAAGCTTTAAGTTTTCTATTTTTGGAGGGAGGAATTTTAAGCTTTAAGTACTTTAATCCACATAAATCATACATTAAATACCATACCTTTCCTTGGTAGAGTTTACACAAAATTGATTGCTATTTGATTAACAAGTGTAAATAATGTTATTTAGATTTTAGTACACAAAATCGATTTTAGCTAAATTGCTCATTTGGGCTCGTTGCAAGACCTTGTAAAATGTTTTTCACTGAAAAGACTCATAAATCTTCGTGTTATTAATATCATTTATCCACAACCCAAAGTCATTGTAATAAATAAACCAATAAATAAATACAGCTGTTTTTCATTCAAATGGTATGATTATTAGATATGAAAACTGAAGGGCGTGCGGGGKAGACAGGGGGGGTACCACTGTGCATGAAATTAGGACAACTKGCGAGCCATGTCACACACTCACACATGTGAAATTAGTYAGTGTCTTTATCTAGTCCCTTTGTTATGCAATGTTTCAAGCACTAGTAAATGACCAGCCTTAATGGAGTTTCAAAAAGGCTTTATTATGTATACCCTATACACTATTACATCTTCTCAACTATATCTCAACCTGCCTCCCCCTACTCCAATCCTCTCTATGTTAATTTATGTTATAATTAATATCTCACATAAAAACAAACATTAATAAATCTGGCAAACGAAGTGGAAGTATATTCTACGTATTCCTTGGTTATTAGTTAAAGCCACGACAAGCTAAAATCTAACATGATTTCTGTTATATAAACTGYCTTTCAAGAGAATCGAAATGCAGCCTRTTTGYTGGGTTGCATCTTTTCTATCCRCGATRTCGTTAATGGGMAATGGTCTGTTTCTACTGGTYGTATATCGGGACAAAGCTCTTCGAGCTGCAGCAAGTACACAAGTTCTAATATCACTTGCGATMAATGATGTGGCGCTTGGACCTGCATTTCTTTTCAACTCAAACTGTTTTTATTATATAGCGGAATATGTCTCCTGGCAAAACAAAGTATTGTTCTACTTGAGATGCGGTTATAGTGCACTTATGCTTCTGACTGTCGCCATCGAGAGATATCTAGCGGTGATGAAGCCTTTCTACCACAAGGTACATGTCACCAAAAAGTGGATATGCATTTCTTTTCAACTCAAACTGTTTTTATTATATAGCGGAATATGTCTCCTGGCAAAACAAAGTATTGTTCTACTTGAGATGCGGTTATAGTGCACTTATGCTTCTGACTGTCGCCATCGAGAGATATCTAGCGGTGATGAAGCCTTTCTACCACAAGGTACATGTCACCAAAAAGTGGATACGGAAATTATTATTTCTGGCGATAATCATTCCTAGTATTATCAATATACCTGGCTTCTTCTTTAAAAGTATAAGTGAGCCTACGACCAATTTATCAGCGATCTCCTCACAATCCAATCCCGTTTCACGGGAAGTAATTCTTGTGTACGAAGTGGCGGTGGTCTGTTTGATCAGTATTTTACCAGCATTACTGATGAGTGTCCTGTATGGTCGTATCATCTATCATGTATGGTTCAAGAAAAATGCTGAAGGCACGAATGTTGCCATTTTGAAAGCGCGACGTAAGATGACCAAACTGCTTCTGAC